TACATTCACATTATTCTATGACATGAACTAAGTCTATGTTCAACAGCTCAGGCATCCAGATATACTGTTTTGTTTTCAGAGATGTACCTATATCCCTACTGTCTAAATGTGAGAATCTTTTGATTTCAAAGCTTTATAGCATTCTGGGACACATTTCATGTGTTCAAATTTCTCTCCTACTTGGACTGAGTCTACTTGTGAGATCCCATTGTTTAAGAATTACTGTTTTGGGGCTGGGAAGGTGGCTTAATGGTAGAGAACTTGCCTTGCATGCCTGAGGCCCTGGGTTTGATTCCTCAACACCACATAAGCAAAAAGAAAAAAGCCAGAAGTGGCACTGTGGCTCAAGTGGTAGAGCCCTAGCCTTGAGCTGAAGAGCTGAGGGACAGCGCCCAGACCCAGAGTTCAGCCCCCCCCAAAAATTCCTGTTTTGTTTTTACAGCAAATATATTACTATAGTCTAAATGGACTAATTAGCTCATTTCAAAGCTGTACCACACTGTTTTTACAAAAGCTTTATGTAAGCACTATTGTATGGGTTCAAGTTTCTCTATTACTTGAACTGAATATACATTTAAGAGCTCATCCAGTTTTGAGATAATTTTGGTTGTAGCATCATATATACTCCCATGGCATATAATAGTAGAAACTGATTTCAAAGCATTGCAGATTTGTGCTTTTGACAACAACATACTAGTGAGATATTGGCGCATTCAAGTTATTTCGCTGTTTGAACTGAGTCTACATTTAGGATCTCACCCATCCAAAATATAGTTCTGTTATTAAAGGCAAACATAATCCTATAAATTGGTTAATTGAGTAAGTTTAAGGTAGTATAGAACTTCTTGTGAAAGCAGCATATTAAGAAAATTTTCATTTGGTCAAGATGTGCTACTACTGGAACTGTATTCATATACATTTGCTACAGCTAAAGTGAATTGTTTTTATAGGCAAATATGCCCTTCTGGTGTAAATGGGAGAATTGGCTAATTTCAAAGCCTTATGAAACTGTTCTTATGAACTTATGCACTCCAATGATATCTTGGGAAGTTTAAGTTGTTCTACTGTTTTTAAGAACTTACCCACAAAAAATGTACTGTGTTAGTTTTCAAAGCAGATATGTCATGATAGAATATATGGCAGAAGTAGATGATCACATAGCATTACAGAATTTATATCATGAAAGCAATATCTTAGTTAAATTGGTGTATTCAACTTGCTCTATTACTTGTAGTTACTCTACTTTTAGAAACTCATCCAGCTAAGATGTACTCTTCTGTTGTAAGGGTCAAATATAAATCTATGTCCCAAATGGCACAAGCAGCTAATTTTAATGCTGCACGAAACTGTTCTTATACAGCAACATATCAGACAGATCCTGGTGTTTTCTGATTGTTTAGTATGTGAGCAGAATGTAGATTAAAAACTCATTCAGCTAAAATGTTCTGTTTTGTTTTTAGAGGCAAATGTAAGTCTGTGGCTCAGATTGGAGAATCAGGTAATATCAAAGCATTCTGGAATGGCTCTTTATAAAAACAGTATGCTAGTGACATCTTGCTGTCTTCAATTTTTCTCCAATTTGAGCTGAGTTTTTGTTTAATAACTCATCCAAGAGAGACATATTATATTGGATTTAGATGTAGGAGTGTAAACAATGCTATATACTGGCAGAAAGGGGTTATTTCAAAGGGGTGTGGAAGTGATCTTATGAAAAGAGCATACCAACAAATTCCTGGTGCATTTAAATTATTATATTACTAGTACTGAGTCTATATTGAAGAGCTTATATAGGTAAAATGTACCAGTTTGATTTTAGAGCAAAAGTATCCCTGTAGTATAAATTGGCTTGTGGGTTAACCTGCTGCTGTTTGCAACTACTTTTATGAAAGCTGCATATCAGCATGATCTTAGGGTGATCAACTTTCTGTATTACTAGAATTGAGTATTTGTAGAGAATTCATCCAACAAAGATATACTGAGTTGGTTTTAAAGGCAGATATTTGCCTATGGCATGTGACAGCAGAAGTTGCTGCTTTCAACGCATTAGAGAAGTATTCTCATGAAAAAAGCCTTCAAATGAGATCCTAGTATATTTAAGTTGCTCTACTACTAGAACTTACTTCACTTTTATGGGTAGCATCTTGTTTGCAGAGTCAAACATAGCTTATGCCTCAAATGGGAGAATCAGCTGATTTCAAAGCTTTGTGAACTTATCCTTATGAAAGAAGCTTACCAGCCAGATCCTGGTGCACTGAAATTATTCTAGTACATGAACACATCCAGCAATTCCTCTTGTTTTTATAGGCAAATGTATTCCCATTGCCTAAATAGAATTGGCTATTTTGAAAAGAGTGTGGAAGTGACCTTATGAAAGTAGCATACCAGTAAGATCTTGCTTTGCTCAAGTTGTGCCTGTTTGAACTGAGTGGATCTGTAAGAGATTATCCAACAAAGATGTGTCATTTTGTATTCAGAGTCAAATATGTCCCTATGGCCTAGCTGGGCTAATTGGGTAATTTCAAAGCGCTGCATAACGGTTCTTATGAAGTCAGTATCCCAGTGAGATCTTGGTGTGTTCGTTCATGTTGCACTCTGACTTGAATTGGGTCTATGTTTAAGAGCTCATACAGATAAGATGTACTGTATTAGTTTTAGTTGCAATATATCCCTACTGTCTAAACTGGGGAAAATAAGCTGACGTCAAAGTTTTACCAAGCTGCTCTTATGAAGTCAGCATAGCAGCAAGATTCTCATGTATATAAGCTGCTCTACTACTTGAACTGACTCTACTTTTAAGAGTTTATCCAGCTGAGATGTATTGTTTTGATTTTTATAGTCAAATACATCTTTCTTGCTCAATTGGGAGAATCAGGTAACTTAAAAGGAGTACAGAACTTTTTTTGGGGGGGGGTCCGGTGGTGGGCTTGAACTTTTTTTTTTTAAATCAAAGCACCATCTAGTGAGATTCTCAGTTTTTCAAGTTGCTCTATTTCTTTTTTCAATTTAAAATTTTATTGTTATTGTAGAGGTGATGTACAGAGTGGATATAGTTACATAAGTCAGGAAAGAGGACAATACCATCCCTTCCCTCCTTCCCTCTTAGCTTTTACCGCCTAGCTCTACCACAAATTGTTCATTTTCAACGTAATGTCTAGTGACTGCTGCATTTGTTCACCCTTTGTCCCTCTATTTCAGTGCCCCTCCTTGCACAACCAAAGGCAGATAAACAAACAAGCAAGACAAAAAGAAAAGAAAACAACAGCAACAAAAATGAAAAAAAACCTGTGGTTTCCATTTCCTGGAGCTCATTTTGAGAAAATATTATTTTATATGATCACATGCACATAGGCATTGTGGTCTGTGTATTCACCTTCTGAGAGTATCTTCCTTTGGTCTCATTGTGTAAGAATGCCTAGAAGTTGCTGTACTTCTTTTTTTTGTATAATTCTTTTTTATTTTTAAAATTTTTATTAATAAGTTTTTTTGTTGTGAAAATACCATACAGAGGGTTACAATTACATGAGCAAGGTAATGAGTACATTTCTTATCAAGCATTGTTGCCTCCTCCCTTGCTTCCCCTTACAATCCCTGACCTCCCATCTCCCCCATTCCCTCTCCCCATCCCCCCTCCAAAGTTGTGAAGTTTGTTTTTCGACATAACATCTTGTACATCTCATTGTTGCAATGGGTCCACCTGTATCCTTATTTAAACAATTTGTTTTTTCCCTTCCCCTCCACAAATTATAGCAACATCAAATATAGTGAAAACAGGGGGAAGGACATACAAAACTAAATCAACATTCAAGAGCTCATTTGGCTAAGAAGTGCTGTTTTCATTTTAGGTACAAATAGATTCCTGTAGATAAGTAGGCAAATCAATTAATACAAAGCATTACAGAACTACTCTTACAAAAGCGGCATGCCATTGAAATATTTGTGCATTCAACCTTCTCTACTACTTAAAAATGAGTTTAAATTTAAAAGCTCAGCCAGCTCAGATATAATGTTTGGTTTTTTTTTTAATTTTAATTTTTATTTTTTTTTGGGTCCTGTCGTGGGGCCTGAACTCTGGGTCTGGGCACTGTCCTGTCAGCTCTTCAGCTCAAGGCTAGAGCTCTACCACTTGAGCCACAGCGCCACTTCTGGCTTTTTTCTTTTTGCTTATGTGGTGCTGAGGAATCGAACCCAGGGCCTCATGCATGCAAGGCA